AGACTTGTTGACTGGTAACATAAGCAACAGTGATGTATAGTTTATTATGTACAAAATAGTGATTCTGTTTTTGCATACACATTTAATAAATATATGATAAAATAAATACATTTACAGTCAAGATTATTACATTTATTAGCATAATATCTAATTCTAAATTATCTAAATAAATAAATAAATAAATAAATCTAGACTGAATCATCTGTTTATTGCATTTGTTACAAAATATTTCCCACATGTTCAATTCATTGTTAAGCTGTGTTAGAAGCTTTTAGTGAATCATTGCAGTTTCTTTTCTTCCACTTTTATAGCTGGAAGATAAACTCACTGCTGACAAACTAACAGAGTGGACGAGCCCACAGAATATGCACATGATGGAGGTGTATTTATCTTTACCTCGGTTCAAAGTGGAAGAAAAGTATGACCTCGAGGATGTGCTGGAACACATGGGGATAAAGGATGCCTTCAGCTCAGGGAAGGCCGATTTCTCAGGCATGAGTGAGAGCCTAGATCTTGTAGTTTCTAAAGCTTTACACAAGTCCTTTGTGGAGGTGACTGAAGAGGGAACAGAAGCTTCAGCTTCCACGGGAGTAGAAATTTCTCTAACATCATCACCAATAAGTGAAGATTTCGCTTGTGATCACCCTTTCCTGTTCTTCATCAAAGAAAGCAAGACCAACAGCATCCTCTTCTTTGGCAGAGTCTCTTCCCCTTAAACACTATCACTCTGCCATGCTCTGGGGGTCACACAGGTACTCCAGTTGATTGAGGCCTGGAAACAACAAATTCACTTTCTTCACTTTTCTTTCCTGTCTCATGGTCACCAAGAACTCAGTTGTTGCGGTATATATCTCTCTATCTTTTTCTCTCTACGCAGCCATATAGATCTACTTTTTTCCTACAAAAATTATTTGGGGGAGAAATGTTCAATAATAATATCAAGGGATATTTCGATAGTCTCTTGTAAGTTGGGCACATGATTCTGTTTGTGACCTGTTTTAAATGAATTAAACTAAATTATACTTGGTCTTTAAACTGATTGATGTAGGCACCCACATTTCCTTGAACTTAGGGGGGGGTATCTGAAGCTTTTCGTATGCTTATAAATTTTGTGATTTACAAAATACATTATCAATAAACCAATGACTTCTTCAAATTATTTATTTTGCCTTCTTTTCAACAAACTGCATGAGATCCATCATACATAAGGAATGTAAGTAGAAATATATTAATCATATGAAAAGGAAATTCAAAATAAGTTAAGCTATGCTGAATTTGGGATGGTAGACAGATACACTTCTGTCTGTATTTATTATTTTTAATACAAAACAAACTGTGTGCTATTTATTTAGTTTTAGTGCTGGGTATTGAACTCAGGGATTCACACATACTAGATAAACTCTCCTACCATTAAATCAAGCCTCTAGATCAAAGAAAATTTAAAATACTACAGTGTGAATAAATGAGTTTATCTCAGATAGGCACATTGCATGCATGTTAATGTAATTCATCAGAATTTTCATCAGAAAATCTCAGAGGAGAATCTACAGAGATTGTCCAATGTAATAATCATTAGCCAGATATGGCCACATAAAATTAAATGGATTAACATCAAACAAAATTAAAAGTACAGTTCCTTTATCTCACTCATTACATCTCACACACTTAACAGCACACATGGCTAGCATACACCACCATGCATCATGCAATTTTTGAAGAGTTCTCTCATCCTAATTCCATTACCACAGAACACTCTACAGCAAAAGCTGTAGAGCCCAGAAAATTCTATAATTAAAAATTTAACATATGTGGCTGGAGAGATGGCTCAGTGGTTAAGAGAAGTAATTGTTCTTGTAGTGATGCAAGGTTTGTGGCATACAGCTGTTATTAATAGTTACTCTTCTTATTGCTGTGTCGAAATACTGACAAAAAATGGAAGGAAGGAAGGAAGGAAGGAAGGGAAGGAAGGAAGGAAGGAAGGAAGGAAGGAAGGAAAAAAGAAAAGAAAGAAAAAGTTCCTTCGAAATTCTTTCAACAATGAAATTTTAGAAGCCACCAAAATCATGTATATGCTTCTGTGAAGACATTTAAGCATGACTATGTCCTGAAGGCCATAGTCATACTTAGATATAT